CGACCGGAGTACCTCCACATCATAGCCGTCTTCCAGTACTTGAAGGGCTGCTCCAAAGAAAAGGGGGGGGGGGCACCTCTGCTCCAAGGCCCCCGGAGGGCAGCAGGACAAGAAGAAGCAGCGGATGGAAACGAGTCCCGGAGAGCAGCAACCAGGACCTGAGTGCGGAATCCCCTGGCCGGGTTTCTCTCCGGGGCTTGGGGGGCCCTTAACAGCCGCTTCTCCAGAATGGTGTCGGGGCTCCTGCTTGAGCAGGGGGTTGGACTAGAGGACCTCCAAGCTCCCTTCCAGCTTTGTTATTCCGTTAGTTAGGAGCTGGATGAGAATAAAGAGGGCAGACTCCGGCTTTGATCCTCCTTCCCAGCCGTTTGGTGTAGCCATAGGAAGCCCTTTGGTTGTCGTCTTTGCAGCCGAGTAGCAGCACGTTGCCTCCTCTGTATGACACCTGGGTCTCTGCGTGCGCACACACCTGCGGGGCCCTTGACCAGGAGGGGGGCAGAGGCTTCCATGCCGACCCACCCCTCTATCCCGCCAGGTCCCTCCGTGGCTTGGATTCCCCCCTCGGCCACCCCAGCCGCATCCCGTCCACTGCCAGGCTGTATCTTGGACACCTTTTTCAAAGTTTGGGCCCCTTTGGGGGTCAGTTATTCAGCCCCTGGTGCCCAACCTCCCCTTGGGAAGGGCAGACAAGGAGAGGAAGCTGGAAGCTGGCAGACGGCGCCTCTTCAGACCCCTCCAGCCCCACCAAGGGAAAGAAGGGGGCAGGCTGGAACCCGGGGCCTGGACAGGACGCCTCTTTTCGTTCAAGGAGCATCTCGGGCCGAGCGACCGGCATCCTGAGGTGCCCTAGGAAGCAGCCGGGGATTTGGCTGAGCCCTCCCCTCTTCCACAAGGGGAGAGAAGGCCACCGAAGCCGGCTCTTGAAAGACTGTGATCCCTTGAAAGCAGTCGGGTGGCTCCGCAAGGTCTGCTGAGAAGCCACCTTTCCTAGGCTTAAGTTTATGTGGTGGACCTTTCCTAATCGACCGGGGGAATGCTTGAGGTATACGGTGTCCTGATTCCAGCCACGCGTTTGACCAAGTGCCCTGTGGCATTTGTGCCAGCTGTTTGGCTGTTCTTTGCCCGGCCTGGCAAGGTTGAGGAGAGGTGAAGGAGCTGCAGCCTGGCTAAAGGGAGTGGGGGCGAATGCCGTGCTGCGGGGCTGGGCTGCGGCTCCTCTGCTTCTCCAGGCGTCGATTAATAACTTCATTAAGAGTCATTAAGAGGCAGAGGGAGTTCTGATGAGATTTTAGATGACACAGAACCGACCGGCATTTCTGCTCTCTCAGAAAACACACTTGTGACGGCGTTTTTAAGCCATGTTTAGCCAAGTCTAGCCAGCCGGTGTCCCGGGGCCCCTTCCTCCGAGTCGGGAGGTTGACAGATTTCCCAGTTACCTGGGATTGTCCTCTGGTCACCTCCAGGCCGAATGGAGCCCAAGCTCCTTGCCAGATGACCGGCGCCATGTGCTCCACATCGAGTTCGGCATCTGGGTCTCCGAGTGCGGGGCGGCTTCCCAGAGGTTGTATTAATACTCACATAAGGATTGGAAACAAAAACAAAGCTATACCAAGGGAACTGGTGCGAGTTTTAAAAATCTTCCCGTTTCTTATGTTGCCAGCGTAGGAAATCCAACGTTCACCGCTTTCCAAACATGGTCCAGTGGATCCATAACAACATTTTCTGACGATTGGCTTTCCTTTTAAGCAATAGGAAGCGCGTATCACTTTTTTTGAAAAAAAGCCCAGACCCACTGATTTCCCAAAATCTGACATTCCAGTTTTTCCTTCTCGAAATCAAATAGGTAACTGGCCCTTCCTGCACTTTTAAGTACTGTGCAAAACCGAACGGGCGGCTCCCGTGCAGACCCAGCCCCTCCGCTGCCCCCCTTGGAGGAAGCTGCAGGTGCCCAGGAGAGGCGGGTGGGGGGCTGCCAGGTGGTTTTGAACCTTGTGAGCCTCCCCTTTTGCACTGTCCCTCCCGATGCCTGGCCCG